CACAAAGGATGAGGTCCTGGGTTTTATGCCGTATACAAAAAAAAAAAAAAAAAAAAAAAAAAAATATATATATATATATATATATATTTTTTTTTTTTTTAAAATAAGACATGTATTCTGAATTATATGGGGAAACAACATAAATTGAGCTCTACCTGTGAGATATTGCTGGTTTGTGGCCATCTTTTAGACCAGGTATATCCTCATGTAAATATGCCAATCCTCTAGCCATAGTTTCTGCAATATGGCACAGTTCATTCCAAGAGACCACATTAGCCTTAAGAAAGTCTGACAGTGAACCCTAAAGAAAAGGGTAGGGTTTGAAAAAACATGGGATTTTTTTTTTAACCTATAAGAAGTTATAAAAGGCAACAGATTATTTCTCTCATAATAATATCCAAAAAGTAAACTGTCTTGGAATAGTTTAAATTTCCTTCCAATTCACATTAATAAACATTTAACCACAAAGGAAAAGAAAGTGATCCTTAAAGATTTGTTATCATAGTCAATTTCTCACAATTTAAACAGTAAAAGTTAAAAAAAAAAGGACTAGCTGAAAATCTAAAGTTCTAGAAATACTTATTTTTTGAAAGTGAAAATGCACTGTCTATAATGATGCTACATGATAGAACTAGAATAACACAAGATAGGGGCTGGGGATTTAGCTCAGTGGCAGCGGGCCTGCCTCACAAGTGCAAGGTCCTGAGTTCAATCCCTGGTAACTGCCCCCGCAAAAAGAGTAACACAAGATATAAGGAGCCACTAGCTAATATAAAACAATCCTGCCTCTTAGAGATTACTGTCATCCTATGATTAAGAATTAAGAGGAATTTTTAAAAAAATAATAAAAAGAAATAAAACATTGAAAAGCCACTTAACAATGATGACACTAATCAAAAATACAATTTCTTATTTCACTAATGTTACTTTAAAACAACTGTGAGAGTTGAAAAGTTGAGGAAAAATAGCAAGTGAGTTGAAAAGATAGAGGAAAAACTAGCAAGTATTCTACAGGGTAGTGACAGATTAAAGATCACATACATTTTCTGACTTTGGGTTTATCATTAGGCTGGAGAAATGTTTCATGAAATCAAAATAGGTCACACACAGTAAATAAAAATTACTAAGTACCATTTATACCAAGTATTTGCAAGAGACAATTACAAAACAGGAAACCAGAGACAAAAGATCAGTATGAATGGACAGTTACAGAAAAAGTTGCTGTTAAGGGTGAAGGGGGTAAAGGTGAAAGGAAGGCAGGGGTATGGGGGAAAAACAAGAACCAAGATGTATCACGTAAAGGTAGAAGTTCCCAATGATAAATGTAAATGTATTGTTTGATTTAAATGCACCAATAAACTTAATTGAAAAAAATTTTTTAAATAAATAAATAAGTTGCTGCTTTTACTCTTTAATTAAATAAATTACTTTTCAAAACAGAGTTAAGAGTAATTCGTATTTTAGGTTAAATTATAATAAACTAATAACACATGAGAGACTCACAGCCAATATTAGGGATGTAGGCCGTCTTCATTTTACTAAATGAAAGAGTTAAGTAATTTTACCTTTTCATGAAATGCTGTAATGAGCCAAAGATCCACATCAACACTCGTGCCTCGTTTTTCTGCACCAATAAACTGTAATATGTTCTCATGCTTCATCCCAGGCAAGCTGTAGACTTCATATTCATTTTGCCAGGACTGTTTGTCCTACAGTGAAAAAGAATAGTAAGAATATAATAATATAGGGGAAAATACCATGTCCAGATTACTCAAGTTCTGAAGTACAAAAGAAAAGAAAGCTAAATGTAAAAGATCTTTTATTCTGTCCTGGTTTTAATAAGAGAAAGCTCCAGTAGGTAACAGTGCCATACTAAATGCCCTATACCTCATTACTTCAAAACATATTTTTCTGTGTTTCTAATTTATGAACACAGGCGTTCATCAAAAATACTGCACTTCTGTATCTCATGATGGCAACGAATTCTGCTTACAAGTATCACACTGTAGTTTCGCCATGATGTGATGCAAGTGGTATTGATATTCATAATTATCAGGTAGAATGACTATTTAAACAGGAAACAATTTTTTCAAAGATTAACATAATATCTCACATCCCATTAATGCCATTCATTCTAGCCTTCAAGCAATCCATGTCTACTACATATCTACTTAGAAAAGATTAACTTCTTTTCATGATGAAAGTACAATAAAAGTGGCAGCATACTACAAAATGGTTAGGAAACCTCTGGATCCAAACTAAGTTTGAACTCTGGTTCTCTTGCTAACCTTTGGAAAGTTATATAATCATTAATTAGTTTCCTAATCAAATAAAATGAGGTTTGTAGTATCTCTTGCATAGAGTTGCTATATTTCATGTATACATGGTAATGTATGTACAGGTAATATGTAAAGCACTCTTACCCGACACAATAAAAGCATTCAATAAAGTTTTTGCTACTGTTCTTATTACTCTTAAGTTAATATCCAAACACTTTTCTCTAATATTTAAGATTCCTGACAAACTGAAATACCTTTCTTGATGTTATTCATGAATCTTAAACAACAAAATATACTCTTTCTGCATACGTAACCATAATTTACAGAATCTGAACTGCTACCAAAAAGAGTAAAGGTAAATTCTTCACAGGCACTATCAGACAGCTTTAAGAGGTAGGAAGACTAAAATCTAAGAATAGGACCAAAAATTGGTTATACAACTTTGGAATAAGGAAGAGTTGATGTTTAGGTGCAGTAGCAAAGCCTGTATCACCAAATCTAACCAAGGCCTCAATATCACTGATCACATGGGTAAATAAGAGAAATGGAAGATACTATCATCAAACTATACCATCAGTGGAACAAAACAAAACAGAAGAACAAAGAGGTAGTTAGATCAGGGTTCTATGAGAAGTCCAGCAACCTTTCAAAGAAAAACAATTAGACAGCAAATCAACTGTTTGGAATCTTGAGCAACTGCCTCTGAAAGTTAATCAAACAAAAACTGAAATAATTGCATAAACACAAGTAGTATGAAAATAAACCAATCTGGTAATATACCTCCAAACATCAATTCTAAAACAAAGCACACTACTCCTTTGCTCTTCTGCTTGCTGACTCTGATAATCTCAAAGGAATATTAAAATTTAACCACTCAGGGCCAAGGATTTAGCTCAGTTGTGCCTCCACCTGCCTCACAAGCACAAGGTCCCAAGTTCGATCCCTGGTACCAAAAAAGAAATTTAACCCTTCAAACACTTTGTTTTTGTTTTGTAACTGGAATCCTCAACTTAGCATTTCTGTTGAATTTTTATTGACAAAAGATCATCTACATGTTCATTTATGGTAATTCCACCACTCCAAACATGAAAGTTGTACTAATAATTTTCTCAGATGTGAAGAAAGACATAAAAGGGCTATCTCCTTTTCCAGTATCACCAAAAACCACTTTGGAAAATGTGGCTTGTGTTTTCAGACTGTTTCTGAATTATGATAACCTTGCAAGTTACAGCTTTCAGAATATAAATGTAGATTAGGCAACTGCAATAAACATACCTGTATTGGAAATATTTTGACAGCCACATATTCATTGAGCAACTGGGCTTTCCAGACGCAACCAAATCTTCCCCTTGCTTTCACTTCTAATAACTGCAGTGGCTTCAAACCAAGTAATGGAGAAGGTGGGGGTGGTCCTGGGTCCTATAGATAAATAATAATAATAATATTATAACTAAGCAGAACATGAAACACATCAATTTTGAAAATAAAAAAAGTGAGTATGCTGAAGAATCAGATGACAGAAACAGTAAACACATATGGATGGCATTAACTTTAATCATGCCAAACTTGAGTTTCTCAAGCATTACTAATTATCGTCAGTGATCACAAGGCAGGCAACTTGATTTAAGAGTTTTCATAGTAACATTCAGCACTACTGTTATTTATGTACAGAAGGAGGGAAGAAAGAACATTTTTTTTATTCAGTCTAACCCCCCCAAGATTTTCTGTGAACTTTAAACACTCCTAACAATATTTTGATTTCATCTAATTTATACTTCCTTAACAGATGAGGATTTCAAAAGTACAAGAAAGAGGAGATTGTGGCTATGTCTCAAAGAACATCTCAAAATCCACTATTTTTCTCTGAGAGCTGTTTAATTTCAAATATTTTCTTCATCAATCTCAGAAATACTTACAGGCACTCTTAAACACATTGCAGATAGGTCCACCAAATATAAAAGCACATAAAAGCAAAGTACTGTAGCCAGTGTTTTATCTGTTCTTATTTTTAACATATTAACAATTCATTTCTTTGTTTATAATTATTTCCTAAAATTGATCTGAGATAAAAAATTATTTGTATTTTAAGGCTGACTGGCCAAGAAAATACAAATAAAAATGAAGAAAAGTGCTGATCAGAGTGGATAATAAGCTATATAAGCGAAAGAGAAGAACAAATTATTAAAGCTAGTAGAGCAAATACAGTTATAGATAGGAATATAGCAGGGAGATCCTCCCTATATAAAGGAGGATAGCAACAACCCTTCTTTAAAAGCATTCTACTAATTCACTATCTTCACCTATAGCAAAGAACAGGAAGCCTTGTGCAACGCTCCCAGAGAAAAGCAAAACAAATATTTCAAGGGCTGCGTAATAGTATCATAAGGCGGAAGTAAAATTTCTGTAGCAAAAGGAATGGGTATGATGGCAATGGCTGGCACCTCAGACACTTGAGAACAGTACGCCACCAAAGATCAGTGCAGTGCATTCTGCCTTTCTTTTCCCTTTCTTTTTATCCCCTCTTCTAATGCCTCACAAACTATTAGTACTCAGGCATCATTTAGCTCACTGGTGCCACACACGAGTTTTAAAAGTTTACATCTAACATTAGAAAGATCCTAGACTGTAGAAAATTGCAAGTTATTAAATAGGAAAAACATGAAACTTCTAAAGTAATCTTTATAAAATGGCTTGAGAATTCCTATTTTAAAACAACAATATAAAATAGAGGACTGCCTATGATTCATTCCAAACTCAGGTATTTATTTAAAATGTCTATGAAAATTGCTTTTACTTTTTACATTCAAAACATGAAAGGTTAGTGAAGCTACAATGCTTCTGTTTAGCAGAGTGACAGGTCAAGGAGGTCAGCTATAAATCTTACAGAAAGGACAGGTTTTTAAGTATGATAGGGGGAAAAGAGGTGTGGGGCAAGAATCTCTGGAGTGTCTATGAAATATATCCGTGTGACCTCATTCTTCAACTGACCTGTAATTTACCTGTAATAAAAGACTACTGATAGGAGCAGGCCACTTCTATGAATGTGGAGACTACGGGAAAAAACATCCTCTAAGCTACAAAGGTAGTTTTTTTTTTTTCCAGTACCAGGGACTGAACTCAGGACTTTGCACTTGCAAGGCAAGCACAGTGCCACTGAGCTAAAGAAATCCCCAGCCCTCAAGGTAGTACTTTTAGAAGAGAAATGTAAAAACTAAAGTACATGCAGCTGGGCATGGTGGCACATGCCTGTGATCTCAGCACTTGGGAGGCTGAGGCAGGAAGAGTGCTGTGAGTTCGAGACCAGACTGGGCTACATAGGGAGTTTCAGGTCAGTCTCAACTACATAGTGAGACCCTGTCTCAAAATATATAAATACATACATACATACATACTAAAGTATACACATTAACAGCTAAAAGCTGAAGAGGGAAAATAATATGACTCTTCAAAATGGAAACACTGACATTTTTAACAACTTTTACACAAATTGATGATAATGTATCTGCTTATAATATACATGTTCTGTTCACGTATTGTATTACATATACATGATTATACACATATTGTGTTCTAAAAGGTGCCAACCATATAGATATGATTCAATCTATAAAAAACAAAAATGATTTAATCTAAATGTCAAAAAGGTCAGCAATTCAACATAAAATTTTAGTACAATACTAACTTTAAATCTAGGAAATGTATAATAATTTTCAATGTCTGTGTTTAAGAAAAATCAATGTCTTCCAAATGCATAAACATGAAAGTTCTCACAACTAAGGCTCTAAATTTCTAAGTTACTGTTATTTCAGAAGAAACCTTAGCTCACTCTCCTATTATTACAATTCTATTCAATATTGTATGTTAACAGTCAGAAAACATACTATTGTCAAAATTACTTTATTTTTTAAATTGAGTTTATTGGTACATTTTAGATATACAGTACAGTTACATTCATTATTAGGATCTTGTACCTTTACACGACAGGTCTTTTTTTAGAGTTTATTGGTACATTTTAGATATACAGTACAGTTACATTCATTATTAGGATCTTGTACCTTTACACGACAGGTCTTGGTTCTCATTTGTTCCCCTTGTCCCTGCCCTCCCTTCACCCCCTCCTCCCCTCAAAATTACATTAAAAGGAAAAAAAGCATAGAAACAACACAATAATTTTAAAAGGCTAAGAAAAGGTCTACAAAGGCACATTCTTAAAAAGTGTCAAGACTTAAATTGTGTTTTTAAACATAAATATAAAATAATATTCTTTAATAAATAACTAGGCTCAAAATGAGTAATTTTGCAGCAAAGATTGTAACTGTATAAAATTTATTACACTAATCAACCTACGTTTTGCCTGCTTTAATGAAAAGTCGCTATACTGAAATTTTAAGTGTGTCAAATATCTAGGTTTTACTTATTCTATAATCTAAAAACACTAGAAACTGTTTTATTCGTATCACAGTAATCTACCGACAGAAAACCCCTTTAATATTTGCTTCTAGAAATAAAGATTTTTATGTTTAAAATGTTTGAACACATACAGAGACAAAAGGCAAATGTAAACCTCATAATGGTAGCAACACTCTGATGTCATCCACAAAATATGGCTTTGCTCTGATATACAGAAAAACTACTTGAAGAAGAAACAGAATTCCTGAAAACTTTTCATAAATCTCCATTGGCCATTACAATAGCCATGCTATTTTGTACAATTAAAAAGATATGTATTAGAGTTGGTTCTAATTATATTTCTTATGTCATCAGAAGAAAACACCTTGAAAAGACATGTTGAAGCTACAGTTACTGAACAAAGCACCCCCATACCCCAAGCCAAAGTCATTAAAGGTGGGAAGTTCTGAAGTTATCTTTGTTTTTTTACCTATTTCTTAGTCCTCCATTGGAAGCGTGAAGTATAATCTTATTATATACTCTTAAACCTCAAGATAGCTAAAAGATCATAAAAAGTTATACTTCACAACTAGTTCATTTTCTATAGGTGCTAAAGATAAACTATCTGAAATTACAGATTTCACATTAAAAGATAATGAGCTGTACCAAAAGTCAGTCTTGTTAAATATGAGCATATGCTAACATTTAAACACACTATATACAATAAAATTAAACCAACACAAGGTTTGTAATGCCAACAAAGTTATTAGGTGTTTTCTAACCAACTAAATTAGATGTTTCTACATTCTACCTTAGATAATTATATAACTTTTAACTATTGTTTTAAACCAAAAACTGTTACTTTGTCAAATCAATCATTTGTATACTAAACATGGTGAAGGGGAGCCTTTATACCATAAATGTACATAAGCTATAAAGGATGCAAAGTAAAACAACAACAAAAATCTAATGACAAAATGTTCAGTATTCATCCACAGAAAATTCCACCACCATAAAACGAAACATCAATGCATCTTACCTCTATCATTATATGAAAGGCGTGCTTGTGAAGAAAAAACACAGGCAAAAGAAATTACGATTCATATTCAGAATGAAATGAAAAATGACACAATAGTTAAAAAGTGAAGGAAAGAGAATAATGATTTAACTTTTAAGACTGGCAGTGATCCAATGTATTATATTTTTGAAATGAGAATTAAGAACACTTTCCTTACAGAGGAAAGTAATATAAAAATTAAAAAACACACATACACACAAAAAACCCTTTTGGATATTAGCTATCAGATGAGAGGTAAACAGAATTTTGACCTTGGTATAACCCCGTTAGCCTATCCAATGGGCTTCAAGCCAGAAAGTAAACTAAACTGTGTCTTAAATATTTATTTTCTGAAAGGTCCTAAGTCTACAAACTCTAAAAGTAAAATATATAACGTAACTGAGGAAGCTACAAGGTGGAACTGGCTTCTGAACACCAGAGGGCAGTGTTGCCTTTAACAAGAACTAGGTAGCAGCCCAAAAGAAATTACAAAAAGCTCAAGTCTTACAGACCATACTTTCTTGACAGTTGTCTAAGAACTTCTAGAATTTCCTATGTTTAGTGAGTCAGTTGCCTTACTCGCCTTTCACAGAACATAGTAGAATCACAGTGGTCAGACAGAAAAATGTTTCTGGTGGCTTTGTGAACACATGCAACATAAATAATATACTAGAAAGAAAATAAAGACAGGGAAGAACAAGATCATCAGAATTAAGTAAACCGTACTAACAGATCAGGCCTACTGTTAAACTTACTTGCCCAGCTACATCAAGGTGAAAAAATTAAATCTCAATAAAATAGGATTTTGATTATTAAACACATCTCAATTTAAAGATTATGTCAGCAATTCAAAATATGATCTTGGCTAATGCTAACTAAATTAAGGAAATGTACAAAAACTGGAGAAGCAGTGGACGTCCTGGGATGAATGTCTACATACTTCTCACACTTCTGAGGACATTCATATAACAGA